GAGCTAGAAATAGCTCTCTCCTATAATTGTGAAAATAAACAGTTGAAGCTACTCAAGACCTGGACTTTCAGTGCTATATAAATGTACGTGGGGACTCAGAGAGATGGTCTGGGTGGCTATTTGCAAAGAATCTTTGTGAATTTTATTTCCTTCATCAAAAAAAGGCTTCTGATCGACATGCTATCTGTCCAGTCTGTCTGTCTCCATCTGACCCAGACCTGGCAACCCTCAGTGTCCTATCCTATCCCAGAAACGGGGAAAAATGAACCTTTCTGAACAGGAAAGTACCTGGTCAGGAATACTTGAAGCCTGGCCCTTTAAGGCTCTGGGTGAAGGTGCAGGTGACATCACAGAATCCAGGTCCTTTATCCGCACTGCCTTGGCGTTCTCGGCGGAAGTGCAGGCGGGCCAAGATGCCGCAGAAGGTGAGGAGTGGGTGATGGGCCCCCCAGGGCATGCAGGGGGGTCCGGGGGTACGGGAAGATCGGTTTCCCCGCAGCCCGCCCGAGTGGTCGCTCTGAGCGCCTGAACCTCAGCGGTCTCCACCTTGTGGGCAGCGGGGTTGCTCGTGGCGGTGGCCCGGGTTGGCGGCCCCTCACCCGGGATGCACTGAGCGCCCCTGCCGAAAGCTTTTTCTTTTTTATAAATTATGTTTGAGGGAAAGAAGGTCGTTGTTACTAAGGAGAACTTACTTAGAAAGATGCTTAAGGGGGGGACGGGGCTGGCCGGGTTCGATCCTGGCACCCCACAGCGTCCCTGTACCAGCCAGGAGTGAGCCCAGAGCCAGGGGCCTGTAATGGGGTGGGTGGGGGAGGGGAAGCACATTTATGTGCTTGTGGCTCAAAGGCATTTGGCAGAGTGTTTTTTTCTTTTTGCTTCACACCCAGCAATGCACAGGGGTTACTCCTGGCTCTGCGCTCAGGAATTACCCCTGGCGGTGCTCAGGGGACCATATTGGTTGCTGGAAATCCGGGTTGGTCGCATGCAAGGGAAACACCCTACCGTCTGTGCTGTTGCTCTAGCTCCACTTGGCAGAGCCTTTGATCTTCACTTGTTCCTTGTGCATTCAGTGGGTTCTGGGAGTACAGGGAGGTGGGGAGCTTCTCTTTACTTTTTCTTTCTTTTTTTATTTTGCTTTTTGGGTCACACCCAGCGATGCACGTGGGTTCCTCCTGGATCTCCATTCAGCAAGCACTCGTAGTGGTGCCAGGAACCATAGGAGATGCCCAGAATTAAACCCGAGTGCAAGGCAAGCACCTAACCTGCTATACGATCTCTCCAATTCCTTTATAATTTATTTTATTATACTTTTTTGGGCCACAGCACCACTCAGTGCTCAGGGATTACTCTTTGTTCTGAGCTCAGGCTTCATTTTTAGCAGTGCTGGGGTGGGTGAGCGTATGTACTGTTGCATATTGACCCCGGCTTAGCTGCTTGAAAGAAAAGCACCCTATCAACTTACTATCTTTGTTAACCCTATATGATTATATTTCCTCAGAAAAAAGAATTTCTGCCTCACCTGTCAAGATTCCAAGCATCCCTCACTGTCCATCTCTCCCAGACCAGGGGTGTGCCCTGCTGTTGAATTGAGTACTTGCAGAAAGGGGTTTTCCCGGGACCAGCTGCAACAGGTTTTAAATGTCTCACTCTTAGGGGCTGGTCATTAGTATAGTCAGGAGGGCGTTTGTCTTTCTTATAGTGACCAGAGTAATGCCCTGACACGCCATAGGGTTCCCTGAGCATCAGTAGGTATGGCCGCAACCCTCCCACACCAGAATTTGTTTTGACACACGAGTATTCTTTGAACTTCTTTTTGGTGTTGGGATATTTCACCTGTCTTTTCCCCCCTGTTTGCTACAAACTTGGAGATAATCAGAGACTCTCCCTACTCAGTGTCTGTGTGTCTAGGATGCAGGGGGAGCCATGTCATGTCCCCCAAAGGTAAAGCAGGTGTTTAGCCCTCTGAGCTCCTCTCCCTGGGTCTAACTCACTACTTGGGGAGCAGATAAGGTGAGATTTGGGACCATACCTGGCAGTGCTTGAGGTCTGTGTCCTGCTGAGGGGACTAGGGGTACCAGGGAATGCCCTCAGGCTTTCAGTTGGCCAATATCTGCTTCAGTCTGGTGTATTCTCTCCTACTCCTCTATTCATACCTTAATTGGAAGTTCTTAAATATGAACATTCTTGAGTCCTTTGACAAAGAGGCTGTTGGGAGGAAAGGAAGGACTTGGAGGCTCTGAGTGAAATTATGGACTTTAAACTTTCACTTGGGATAATTGCAATTTTTTCTCCACTTTTTGGGTCACACTGGCGATGCTCGGGGCTTATTCCTGGCTCTGCACTCACCCTCTGTACTCAGGATGCACTCCTGGTAGTGCTCGGGGAAGCATATGGGATGCCAGGAACCAAACCCAGGTCACCTGGGTGCAAGTCAAATGCCCTGCCCGTTGTACTGTCACTCTGGCCCCAAGTGTAATTTCTCATCCCCTTTTTCTTTTATAAAATCATGTACCCATAGGAGTAAAATCATATGTCTGAAAACCTGGCCTATAAGCCCTGAGCACTTCTGAGTGTGGTCCCAAAACAGAAAAAAAAAACCCAAAGAATTGACCCTTGTGAATATATTACTAGATTTCAGACCTCTGTTGTTGGCAGATAAATTCTTCATTGCCTTTATTTGGGCAGGAGGGGGATTGTCTGTGTGGGCTTTTGCCAAACCCAGCAGTTCTCTGGGATCACTCCTTGGTGATTCAGGATGTGAAGTTGAGTCTGCCGCATGCATGACAAGTGCCCTTCCATTCACTGTGTGCTCTTTCTGGCCCCTGCAAACCTTTGAAATTGCAGTTTGTACTTCTCGCTCAGGTTTGTACCAGGAGGCCCCAAGTGCCAGCAACCCTGCCTGGACCTCTACCAGCTGGGCCTCATCCCTGTTTCCTGCCTGTGTCCTTCTCATATGGTTCACAGTACTTATGGAGACTTTGATTTCCTGGGGTCAGTGATAGGCCTGGGGTGCAAGCCCTGGCCTTGCAGGCAACCTGCCACACGGTATAATCTCCTGCACAATGCAGGATTCCTCAAGCACCACCTGGGTGAGCCCAAAGATCTGCCACCTGTGGCTCCAAAACCCAAGTCTGACCTGCATTCTCCAAAACTGGCTGGTGGATGTTGACACATAAAAAAAAACTTTTTTTCTGGTTATACCCTGTGGTTGCTGCTTTTGATACCCAGTGTGGTGTCAGGGACTGAACACAGGTCAGCTGTGTACAAGGCCCATACCCTACCATACTATAGTTCTGACACCTAAATTTTTTTTTTGGTTGGCCACACCCCATGGAGTTTACCCCTGGCTCTGTTTTCATTGATTGCTCTAGGTTTGGGGATCCTGTGGGGTGATGGGGACTGAACCCTTGTCAGCTGTGTGTCAGACAAGCACCTTGTGATCTGTGCTATCTCTGTAGCCATCATAAAAATGCTTTTATGCTGGGTAAAGTCCAGAACCTTGTGTTCTTTTTTCCGATTAACTACACAATTCACTTTTTACTTGTGTGTTTTTGTTTTGGGGCCACAGGCAGCAGTACTCTGGGTACTGGAGTAACCTGACTCTGCACTTAGAAGTCACTCCAGGTGGCTTGGGGGGGGGGGGGTCCAGTGGAATGTGGGGGATTAAACCAGAGTAAGCTGCATTCAAGGCAATTGCCCTCCCCAATATGCTGTGGCTCTGGTCCGGGTCCTAATTCTTCTCTGTTCCACTACATTTCTGTTTAGATATCATAGCATTTTCAGTTCAAGTGGATCTATGACCCGTGAGATATGAGAGCAGGTCAGCTGCTTGCCCTGCCCTCCTTGAGAGCAATTTCAGACTCCAAAGCAGAAACTTCTGGTCAGGACCCTGGCGTTTGTGCACCTCTGTCATGCTCACAGTGCTGACGTCTCTAGATCTTTGCACGGAGCTTCCTGCTGATTCTCAGGAATTATAGGTGAGAGAAGATGATGTCACGCTGTCTGACCCACAGTCCACAGGGAGGAGGAAAGTGACTAGATGATATGATGCAGTGACAGGAACGCATAGGCCTTTCGGGCTGACTTTATCTAGAGTTGTTTCAGGAGGGAGCACTGGCTCTACTCATATATGTGAGGTAGGAGGGAAGACCTTTCATTTATTCTCAGGTTCTTTCTGAGCATAGGAAAGTTTATACAGGAATGAAACATTATTCATGCCATGACTGTGGGCGGGTCTTCACTTTCTATTTTTTTTTCTTTTTGGGTCATTCCTGGATCTGCACTAAGGAGTTACTCCTGGCAGTGCTCAGGGTACCATAAGGGATGCTTGGAATCAAACATGGGTCAGCTGCATGGAATGCTGGGAATGGAACATGGGTTGGCTGCATGCAAGGCAAACGCCCTACCCGCTTTTCTAAAGGGGCTAAGGCGCTGGAAACCACCGAACTCCTTGGCAAAGCTGTTTTTTCGATGATGTTTTCTCCTTTCCTTCCCTCCCAGGCACCCAAGTGGAGGAGAGGGGGCGACCATGATGCTTTCTGTTGGGAGGGCAACAACAGTGTTCAAGAAATCGATGGGGTTCTCCACTGGCAATTCCTGGACAATAGGGTGGCAGTTCATTGCAAGGTCTCGAGGATGAGGTACTGGAGGTCACCTGGGCAACCCTGGGCTGACACCCGAAAGGGCCTTTAGAGGACCCAGCCATTCCTGGGGGACCAAGTGTCTGTGTGGTGCTGGAGATTGAACCCACACATACCATGCTTGCAACCTCACTCCTGTATCATCTCCCAGTCCCTGAAACGACACGTGTAGAGAGGAGAAAAGGGAGGCCCAGAGAGGTGCAGCAGCTTCCCTGAGGTCACACAGCATGAAGGAGGATCTTTGCTCTGGTGATATTCAGGGCAGCAAGAAGCAGGGTGGATGGCCAATCACCCCAACCACCACCCCACCCCTGTTCCCAGGTCTGAGTGGAATTGACCCACAAGGAAGCTCTGTGCAGCATGTCCAAGTCAGGATCCCCCTTGCGTCAGAGGGTGGTCATGCCCCCGAGCTCATCCAAGAGGGTGCCCTACATGCTCATTCCTCTGGAGCCCGGTCAGGTGGACTTGGAGGTGAAGGTCGTGAGCATCGAAACCTGGGACCATGTGAGCAAGACCAACCTGGTCCAGGTAATGGACCAGAGCAGAGATGGGGGAAGTGGAGTGACCCTCCCCAGGCTACCGGCTAGTCTCCAGGTGGGACAGTTGGGAGCTGGGCCTTGGGTCAAGTAACAGGCCCCTGGATGGGAGTGAGGGGTCGCACCAGGACACACAGCCCAGCACAGCCCTCATGCAGCACCTCTGCATTCTCTTATAGTTTCCTGTGGGACGTCCAGAACCTATTTATGAGTGAGAAGTATGTGAAAGTCAAATAGCTCCACCAAATACTTTTGCGCCCCAAGCAAGTAAAGAATCATCCCCTGAATCCCCCACGGGGCAGGAGGCTAGTACACCAAGAGAACTTTTGCCTTGTATGATGCTGACCAGGATTGAAGCCAGCATCTTATAGGATCCCCTGAGTTCAGAGCCAGGTATTAGCCATGAACAAAATTTTTAAAAGGAAAAGAAGAGGGGCTGGAGCAATAGCACAGCGGGTAGGGCACTTGTGTTGCACGTGGCTGGCCCAGGTTCAATTTCCGGCATCCCATAAGGTCCCCTGAGCACCGCCAGTGGTAATTCCTGAGTGCAGAGCCAGGAGTAACCCCTATGCATCACCACGTGTGACCCAAAAAGCAAAATAATAAATAAAAATGAAGAGCACTTTTCACTTTACAAATATTAGAGGGGGAAAAAGCCTGAAACTCTTTGATTTTGGAAGCAGTAAAACCCCCAATAATCTAGTGGTAACTAGGATGCTATAAATCATTTAGGTTTTTGAAAAGGCTAAATAAGGCCTTTAGGTCAGGAAAGTTTGCTAACTGTGAGCTCAGTATAAACCTCCATTCTAGGATGGGTCCTTATGCTGGGTTGTTTTCTTTCGATAATGTTTCTTATTTGGAACCACACCTGACACTTCCTAGTGTCAGGTGGTGCTCAGGTAACCATTTGGGATGCCAGGGATGGAACTCAAGTTGACCAAGTTCACTGCAAGTGCTAACCCACTGTACTCATCACTCCTGGTCCATACTCTGGGTTTGAAAATGTATTTCTGAAGCCTCCCCCTGGAACTTTCCTTGCCGGTGACTTTCCATTGCTTGAGTGTTGTCAGGGGTAGACCATTAACACATAAAGTGCTCTCAGATGTCCTTAGCAGCCTTTCTTTCCTTTCCAGTTTCTGTCCAGCTCTCAGATGGCTGCTCTCTGTCTGGATTGTTCCAGTTCTTCTCCAGGGCTGGCTGCCCTGTCACTGCTTTCACCACCATCTTGATTTGTTACTTCCCAGAGAAACTCACTGTCCTGTGCCCCACCCATTCCCTATCTGCCTGTTTTACCCGGATCAACCCTGTTTTAGTTTTCCTGATGGCCTTGTGTGTGGGAGCATTGACTCCACACTTGACTGGCCAGTAATGCATCAGAGGACTTCTTTTTACACGAGCTCCCATGCTCACCAGCTACTGCAGCAGCTGCCTCTCAACTCCCTTATTAAATCCATTCCCCTCCAGTCACTGATTCTCCTGGGTGGGGATAATGGTTCTCTGCACATCTGGAGTCTGGCCCTTTAAGGCTGCTTGGAGGACCGGAAGTGACATCACAGTGGGGCCTTCCTGGTGCTTCTCTTCCTGGAAACGGGGCCAGAGAGTTCTTATTCAGGTGGGTGAAGGACCAAGTGGGCCCCAGCGAGGAAGCGGGAATCTGAAGGCTGATTTTGTCTTGCTGCAGGTCAGGGGTGGCCTCCCGTGAGCGCCCCGCACCTCCCCGTCTCCACACTGTGAGCCGCAGACCACGCCAGCCTCTCGCGCTTGTTTTTCTTGTGTTCCCCAATATCCAGGCAGTTCCTGAGGTATGATGGAGTCTTTTGTTGGGCGCGGAGCTTTGGGAGGTTCATCGGGGGCTCTAGTGGGATGCGGGAGTCGCGGGTGTGAGTGCGTGATCCTGGGGGTCCGTTGTGGCCACGGGAGCTGCGGGCCTTGGGGTGCAGGAGCTGCCAAGGGCGGGGGCCTTAGCTTTCCCGACCCTCCCGGCTGACTCATGTTGGTTCCTTGCCCCAGTTTCGCTGTTGTAGAATCTCCAGATTCACTTTGAGGGCCAGAGCCGACACCCCCCCCCCCTCAAAAAGGCTTTAGACCCTGTTGCCGTCCAGCTTTTTCATTGGCTGCCCTCGTGGGTCAGGCCGGGAAGGTGTATCTGCAGGTGGCCAGGGTTTGCCAGTGATACTTTCCTTTTGGAGCTATTTCTGGAGTAGGGTATGGGGGACTCTGCAATCCCGGAGATACCCTGAGGTCTTACTCTGACTCTGCCCTCAGATGTTATTCCTGGCAGTGCTCTGGGGGCCGTGGGGATGCAGAGGATTGATTAGTGTCAGCAAATCAAGCATCCTAACAGGTTTACTGTATGTTGGAATAGGAATATCTGCTTCCTCACATCAAGTTGCAAAGTCCTGCCTAGACTGCTGGCTATCAAGGTGAGTATTCGGGGGTAAAGGGTGTATCTGTGTGTGCTTGCGTATTTGTGTACTGCTGGTAAAAGTGTATGTCTGTAGAAAGTTTTTATTTTTTTTTTTTGCTTTTGGGGTCTCACCCAGCCGATGCTCAGGCGTTACTACAGGCTCTGTACTCAGGAAGCACTCCTGGCGGTGCTTAGGGGACCATATGGGTTGCTGGAAATTGAATTCGGGTTGGCCGCGTGCAAGGCAAACACCCTGCCCACTGTGCTATTGTTCCAGCCCCTGTAGAAAGTTTTTAGAAAAATTTATTTATTTGCTTTTTGGTTCACACCTGACGATGGGTTACTCCTGGTTCTGCTCTCAAGAATTACTCCTGTGGTTCTCAGGGGACCATATGGAATGCTGCGAATTGAACCCAGGTTGGCCACTTGCAGAGCAAACTGCCCTACCCACTGTTTGACCACTCCAGCCCCTGTTTTCTTTTTTTTTTCTTTAAAGAAGAGAGGGGCTCCCCCATGCAATCATAACCCAAACTGTGGCTCTTTCATGGGGCCAGAAGGGGGCGCTGATGCACGGGATTTCTTGGCCTCAGAGTCCTTCCTGGCTGGGCCTGTGTAAACCTTCTGTGGTATCCGGGAGGGATCTCCAGACCAAGGCAGGGCCGACTTTTCTCTCTTGTGGCCAAACCCAGAACTTGTGTCACGAAAGGCAGCACAGATGCCAACCCATTTTGCTTCTCCTGGGGAGAAAGAAGCATTAGTCAGTGTCCCCCAGGCGGGTCTTTGAGCCAGTGCCCAACGGTGTGGCTGGTCAGAACTTGGGGCTTTTGCTCCTGTCCAGTGCTCACAATTCTGACTTGTCCTCCAGGTTTCTGATCCTCGGGAAAAACAGAGGAAGGAGAACATGGTGAGCTGCCATCGGACACACCGAAGCCAGGTAGGAGTGACAAAATGAGGTTATGCAGTGCCAGGAGCGTCAGGCTTCCTGGGATTTCTGTCTCTGACTTGCTTCAGGAAGGATCCTGCCGCCTTGTGAGAGCACCTGGCTCTCTGCAGTATGCGGCCACGTTTGTGTCAGTTTCCTTATATTTGGCTTTAGAATCACAGCATCTCAAAGATTACTGGTGCTCAGGGATGACTCCTGACATGTCTCAGGGACCATATGGGGTGCTGGGCGTCAAAGGTTGGTGTCTGGGTATTTTGTTTTCGGAGCCACATGCAGTGATTCTGGGGATTATACTCTTGGCCCTGCACTCTGGCATTGCACCTAGCAGTCCTTAGAGGACCCTATTGCATGGCGGGTATCACCAGCCCTACCCACTGTCCCCAACTTACGGTCCTGTTACACAATCACGCTGCTTTGTTTCTTTTCGTAGTCACTTTTGTGCCACAGGGGAGATGCTCAGGACTTCCTCTTGCCTCTGTGCTCCGGATTTCCACCTGATATGCATCATGGTTCCCCGGGTGCTCTGGTCCTCTTTGTGCCCTGGCAGCTACAGTAACTCGGGCCCCAGGATATGTTTCCACTATTTTGTCCTCGCTCTGGAGGGCGTCTTCTGCTCTGTCACAGAGTCCAGCATTCATTGGCTGCTCTGTTTGCAGTTCTGGGCATGTGCTGGTCCCAGGGAGACAAAGCAAAGGATCTCTGGGGCCATCAAAGCTGTTGGGATTAAGGCACTTTGAGAGGCATTTGCGGTGGCCCTGAACCATGATCAGAGTTCAACAGGCACAATTGTGAATGCACAGCTTTCAGTCAGTGACTGGACATTGAGTGTCCCCTTCTCCCTAGAGCATGGGCTGTGGGATGCAGGGGGTGTGTGTTTCGTGTTTTGAGCTTAAAGCAGGGTTACTCATTTGGGTCCCACTGATTGTGTGCTCAGTTTTTACTCTCGGCAGTGCTCATAGGAGCAGTGGTGGAATTCCCTGGGGTCAGGAGCAAGTCTGCCACCTTCAGGAACATTCTAGTACAGCATCCTCACATTTTCATAGATGCAGCTGTCTTAGAGAGAAGTTGGGACCTGTCTGCCAGGAATTCGGGTGAAGCCTGGTTCCTCCCAAGGGGACAGACCCTGAGCCCCTCTAGGACCTTGTGGACCGGGCCTCACAGACCAGGGAACATGGTGGGGACAGACCCTGACTCCTGCCCCCTTTGTATGCCGGCTCAGGACACGATGACCTTCCCTGATGTGGCCGTGAGCTTCACCCCAGAGGAGTGGACATGCTTGGATGCCTCTCAAAGAAAGCTGTACAAGGACGTGATGCTGGAGACCTACCAGCACCTGCAGGCTATTGGTGAGAGCAGTGCGGGGCCAACCTTGTCTGGACAGACACGTGTGGGCTTCTTGTGCTGGGTCCTGATTGTGTGTCCAACAGTCTGATGGTCCAGGACTAACATCCGTGCAGTAGCTGTTTCTCTAGTTCCTTTCCTCATTCTCTTGTTGGTGCTCACCTGGCGATGCTCAGGGCTTACTCTAAGCTCTGTCCATAGGAATCACTCTCTGTGGGTTTGGATGAATCTGCAGTGTTGGGGATTGACCCAGGTTGGCCTCTGAATGCAATCTCCCTGCACGCTGAACCATCGCTCAGGTCTCTCTAAATAGTTCCTGGTTCCTGCCATTGCTGAGTTCTCTTCTCTGATCACTTCTAGTGCTACACATAAAGTAAAAAGTAAAGGCCCTCCCGTTGATCGTCGATTTGCTCGAGCGGGCCCAATAACGTCTCCATTGGAGACTTTGTTGTTACTGTGTCTGGCATATCCAATACTCTCGGTAGCTTGCCGGGCTCTCCGAGAGGGGCGGAGGAATCGAACTCGGGTCGGCCATGTTGGCCGCTTGTAAGGCGAACGCCCTACCCGCTGTGCTATTGGTTTTGTTTTTATTTGGGGCAAAATCTGAATCCTTTTGTCTCTGTGCTGAGGGATCACTCCTGGGGGTGCTCAGGGGCCATGGGGTGCTGAGGATTGAACACGCTTGGCAGCTTAAAAGGTTGCTATCTTAATCCTGATACTATTGCACCTGGCCCACAGCTTCAGTTATTTTGTTTTGTTTTGATTTGGTTTTGGGGGTTATACTTACAAATACTTAGGGATTATTTCTGGCTGTGTATTCAGTTATTCATCCTGGTTGTGGTCCAGGACATTGTGTGCTGCTGGGGATCAATTCTGTACGTGTGTGCAGTGTCTATGTCCTGCCTGCTGAATATCACTCCCAGAATAGCTCCTTTATTTCTTAGGGCATCACCCCATCAGATGCTATTCTCATTTCAGTGCTCGTGGTCAATCCCAGTGGTTCTCGGTTCATCAAGACTCAGGGTTTGCGTCTGAACTATGCAGTTAGGGATCACAGATGATGGCTTGAGAGACCCTCCTGAATGTCTGGATCGAACCTTTATTGACCTTGAGCAAGTGCCTGACCTGCTGTGCTGTCTGTCTGGATCCTTTTGTTTATTTTTCAAACCAACTGGGGGCTATGGTCATCTTTGGCCATCTTTGGATTTGTTAAGCTTTGGGGTTTACTGCACTAAGGCATCAGTTCACGCAGGCTCAGGACATTGCATGTGATGCCGAGCCTAGAGTGACAATACAGCGGGCACCGTGCTTGTCTTGCAAGATCTGGACATGCTTTCTATACTCAACATCCCATGTGATCCTCAAGCACCACCAATGGTAAGATTTCTGAGTACATGGTCAGCGAGAAGACTTGAGCATCCCCAGGTGCGGATCCTGAACTAGAGAAAAAAAAAAAAATACTACATACTGTGCTGTGATCAAACCCCTGATGGCCCTTTAAGACCTAGGCTATACTGTTTGTGGTATTTTCTGGGGCCCCATATTTCACTCTTAAATTAAGACCTGAATGTTAGCTCTTGGATAACTCCAAATCTGGAGCATTTATTCGTGCAGATTCTGTTCATGGCTTTCCAGTAATTTACTCTATTTTGTTGGTACACATGGGATTTATTTGTCATGTTCTCCTTGTCTCTCATCCATGCTCCATCTCTGTGAGGTTCAGGGCATTCTGAGGTGAAGCCTGCGGTGATCTCCTGGCTGGAAGGAGGAACCCTGAGGCTGGGGAGGAGAAGCATGTATGCAGGTGAGTGTCTGAGAACCTTCCCTGGCTCAGGCCCTGGGCAGTGTGTGGGTGCCCTGAGCACACGTGAAACTCGCTGTTGACCCTGATACCTTGGGTTCCTGGATCCAGGCATCTGTGCTGCATTCACGCTGCCATGGATTGTCTGTCGTGGAATAATCTTGTGCTTTACCTTCTTGGCTTTGACATTATTTTTCCTCTTCTTCCAGTCGATAAAATTCTCACTCCTTGGTCCCCCTGTCTTTCCCTTACTGGCCTGTCTGTACAGCCTATAATGTCGCTGTACCTTCAAAATATTTTTTGTCATTTTCGTTTAGTTAATAAGTAAGGCCACAATAAAACTATTTTGCCTCTGAGTGATAGTAATGCAGGAAATGCGCTTGTCCTGCACACTGTCCACCTGGTTCAATAACCAGCATCCCATATAGTTCCCTGAGCATCACTGAGAATTTTTAACAAAAAAAAAAGGAAATATGTCTTGTAGGATTGCCAAGCTTTTCGCAGCAATCCTCTGCGGAACCTTCCCTTTTCTGTGGGATACTTTGGACTGTGAGGACCATAGAGATGTCCTCAAGCTGTACTGCCTGGTTAAGGATGTTCCATTCGAAGAATTCTTACATTGTATATTGGGTTTGGTTTCAGAACTCAAAGGACAGCTTCAGGATTTGGGAACTCAGTCACCGAGTATGAGTGAGCCGGTAAGATTTGCAACTTTGGAATCAATATTATAATACTAATGGAAAATGTCAGTGGACCAGCATGTTATTTTTAAAGTGCAGGGCCAGGAATGGCCGGAAGGAAATTCAGAGTATGATGCTTGAGGTCGAGGACCCTTATCTTCACTGGGTGCTGACATCTCTGCTCAAAACCTAAAGAAAATTGTAATATGTTTCATGTAAATGCCGTGCTTTTTCATTTGATTGAAAGTATCTACAAATGGTAATTGTGAAAAGACCTGGTCTTTTAAACAGGTCCATCCACATTGCTCCATGTGTTTCCCAGAGGCCTACCAGGAATAATCTCCGAGCACTGTATGGTGTACCCCCACCCCAAAGTGAAAACAAAATACAGAACAGAAAAAGTCATTGATCCTGAAAAGAATCTGCCAGCAGGTTAGATGTTTTCATTGGCCCCTGTGATCAGTCTCAGCAGTGTTGGATGCAGCATTTCTTCATAAATGCTTTCCGGGCTGTACTCCACATTGAAGTAGAACTGAACCCAGAGTTTAGTGTTTTATTTTCTCTTGAATATGGTGCATCAGTTTTCTGTGGAGGGAGTTATTTCTGCTTGTTCATTAAGTTGAAAAAAATATTTAACAAATTAATGGCCCCTCATTCATCAATTTCCCATGTGTGTCTTATAGATACATTAGGTTAGTTCATGGTAATGCCATCCACCTGTCGGGAATTGCATTGGTGTGGTGCAAATGTTAGAAACCAATCTGCATGTACCAATTTCATGTAACATGGAGACTCTTAAGGCATAGAACGATAATTGGAATTGTCTGCTGTTCTACAGGGAAGCAGCCAGCCCGAGTGGAATGACTCTGACCCTTCAGACTGTGAAAAAGTCTCGAGTGTGCATTTGTGCCCTCAGCCACATGGGGATGCCAAGGCAGGCAGGATGGCCTCTGAGGGTGATCAGAATGGAGAGAGCAACCTCACTCTGAAGAATTCCTCTCCTGGGAAAATGTTCACACAGTCTGTTCTTCTCAGTCCACGGACACAAACCCCAACATTGGGGCAGAACCTAGAATGTGGTAGAGGAGCACTGTTTATAGTGAGTCCTTCACACCAAAAGGGCCACAAGCAAAGTCAACATGGATTGACCCTGTCCAAGAGTAAGGAATGTGGGGGAGCTTTCCCTTGTTCCCAGAACCATGATGTTCCCTTAGAAACCCACAGTGGAGAAAATCCCCAGGAGTGTCAGCAGCAAGGACATGGTTTGAATCCACTGTTACCCCTTTGTGATGACATGAACATCCACACTGGAGGGAAATCACATACATGTAAGGACTGTGCAAAGGCCTTCACTCGACCCTCAGACCTCTTAAAACATTGTAGAATTCATACTGGAGAGAAATCATATGTGTGTGAGCAATGTGGGAAGGTCTTTGCTAACTTCTCACACCTTTTTAGACACAGGAAAATTCATCCTGGAGAGAAACCTCATAAATATAAGGCACGTACAAAGGCCTTCACTCAATCATCAACCCTTACTGGGCATATGAAAACTCATACTGAAGAGAGGCCTTATATATGTAAGGAATGCGGGAAGGCCTTTAATTATTCCTCAGGCCTTACACGGCATATGAGAATTCACAGTGGAGAGAAGCCTTATGGATGTAAGCTATGTGGAAAGGCCTTCTCTGTGTCCTCAAGCCTTGATGTGCATATGAGGATTCACAATGGAGAGAAGCCTTATGGATGTAAGGAATGTGGAATGGCCTTTGTTGCATCCTCAAACCTTATTAGCCATATGAGAATTCACACTGGAGAGAGACCTTATGTTTGTAAGGAATGTGGGAAGGCCTTTGTTGAATCCTCAGGCCTTACTCGGCATATGAGAATTCACAATGGAGAGAAGCCTTATGGATGTAAGGTTTGTGGAAAGGCCTTTGTTAGTTCCTCAAGCCTTAATTTGCATATGAGTATTCATAATGGAGAGAAGCCTTATGGATGTAAGGTATGTGGAAAGGCCTTTGTTGTATCCTCAAGACTGATCACCCATATGCGAATTCACACTGGAGAGAGACCTCATGTCTGTAAGGAGTGTGGGAAGGCCTTTGTTTCTTCCTCACACCTTAATGATCATGTGAGAATTCACACTGGAGAGAAACCTTTTGTTTGTAAGGAATGTGGGAAGGCCTTTGTTTGTTCCTCAAACCTTACTGTTCATGTGAGAATTCACACTGGAGAGAAACCTTTTGTTTGTAAGGAATGTGGGAAGGCCTTTCGTCGGCCCTCAGGCCTTACTGTACATAGGTCAGTTCACGCTGGAGCGAAATCTTTTATATGTCAAGAATGTTGAAAAGCCTTTCTGTTTCTTTCTTGTCTTAGGAAATATAAAATTCATAAATAGAACATTTTGGTAAAGTCTATTGTGTTTGGACCATGGGATGCTGTGCTACAAAAGTGCAGCCAGGAAGGAAATAATCCTGGTAGTGTGTAACAAACTTTCTGTGATGTCAGTCTATAAGGGAAAGTCTATGCCAGTGTCCCTGAATTTGAACTTGATGTGTATGTTAATATGTACTTTTTAGATTTTCTGGTGAAAGCTAAGAGGAATGTGAATAAAAATGCAAAAAAAATTCCCTTTGCTCAGGGCTGTCAAGGTCAAGAGTGGCCGAGATTAGTACCAGGATTTTGCTGCATAGCTTGGAGGCCAGCCACACTTGCTAGGGGAAAAGGCAGCTCAGTTAGAGAAGGGAGCACCAAATAAAGGGTGTTAGGAGGATCCTCCCAGCATGGGAGAAGCATGCTGAAAGTAGAATATAGACCAAACATGATTACCACTCAGTGCCTCTTTTGCAAACCCCAACACCCAAAAGGAGAGAGAGAGAACAAAGGGGAATGCCCTACCACAGAGAAAGCGTGGGATGAGGGGATGGGTGGTGGGAGGGATACTGGGGTCCCTGGTGGTGGGAAATGGGTACTGGTTGAGGGATGGGTATTTGTTCATTGTATAATTGAAACCGAAGCATGAAAATTTATAAGTCTATAGCTGTACTTCATGGTGACTCACTAATAAAAATCTTTAAAAAATGTGAATAAAAAGTCAAAAAAATCTCTTCTATCAGGGCTGTCAAGGCTCACCATTGTCTTATTCTTTGTTGTGACTCTGGTTTGACTTTTTTTTTTGCTTTTTGGTTCCCGCTCAGTGATCCTCAGGGGTTACTCCTGCCTCCACAATCAGTAATTACTCCTGGAAGGGCCTGCGGACCATATGGAATGGCAGGGATTGAAACTGGCTGCCCCATGCGAGGAAAAAGCCCACCCCTCTGGACTGTTGCTCAAGTCCCAGTGACTTGGTTTTGAGGCCCTGGGTTTGGGGGATTATGGCAGAGAAACAGCCACACCTTCGTTCTTCAGGGCCTCCTGATTCCTGTTCTTCGGAGCCACAACCAGTTGAGTCCTACTCCTCGCTCTTAGCTCAGTCACCCATACCTGGGGGACTCAAGATCATTATGGGGTACTGTGGTTGGAATCCAGGTGGGCTGTGTGTGACCAGCTCCTTCCCCCATGCCATCTCTGCCACCCATGTGTTCAGGTACTGGTTAGTTTTGTGTCAGTTTAAAGGATAAATAATTCTGAAAGTTTTATCTTAGTTAAATGGCTCAGGCAAAGTTCTTTAATGGAGTGCCGTGAAGACAGTTTGTTTTTTAAATTTTAAACTTTGTTTTTCCCATCTTTTTGGGTCATACCCTGAAATACTCAGGGATTACTCCTGGTGGTGCTCCGGGAACCCTGTTAAACCTGGTGCAAGGCAAATTTCCTATCTGTTGTACCTACTATTGGAAACAGTTTAAATGAACTTTACAGTGTGTAGAAAGACATATAAAAGGATGGAAGGGGCCTCTTGAATCAAATGTTTGACAAGTGCCGGGAATATGGGTCAGCTCTTCACAGCCCAGCAGGCCGTTCTGTTTACCTCTGATTTTTCACAAAGTTGGTCACGTTCCCCATCAGTTCAATAATAATACAGAAAAAAGGTAAGTATTGTATTTATTTATTTATTTTTATTTATTGAATCACTGTGGGGAAAGTTGCAAAGCTTTCAGGTTTAAGTCTCAGTCATGCAAATATCAAACCCATTTCCCTTTACCAATAATTATTTTTCACCACGAAGAACCCCAGTAATCCCCCCAACCCTCCCAATGCTCGTGAGGCAGATGAATTCTAGTTAACACTCTACTTTGATTAGATTCATTGTTTTGACAAAAGATTCACCATTATTATTTATAGTTTACATCCCCAAATCAGACATGCTGAAAAGGCATTGTGAGATAATTTGTTTTCTACAGCTGGTCACAAGAATTAAATGATGTTTTGCGGCCATGCGATTTTGGATTTCTGGTATTTTGCTTATTAAGCCTGGAAGTATTTCTGCTGAGAGTCAGATAATTATGAGATTGGTTTCTGTGCTCTGTAGCTGTGGCTGTGCCAGAGAGCCGCTCGTGGGGGGCAACTCTTGACCTCGGTAGGGCGTGAAGAACGAGCTGGGAATTCCCCCCTTCCCATGAGGTTTCAGTTGCCCCATCACGACCAGCTCATACCTGGCTTTCCATAAAGCTCCGGAGCAGCTGCCATCTTTCTTTCCAGAGGGAAAAGGAGGAAGGGAGCAACACCCTTTCCCCTCCGGGCAGGCATGGTGGCATGGATTAACGCATAGTCCATTTACTTTTCTGCTGCAAGCTGCCGGGCTCTGCATTAAGTCCTTGTGCTTCTGGAGCCATGGTCGTGCCGGAGACCCACTCGTGGGGAGCAACTCGTGCCCTCCAAGTGTTGTATTTAGAATTAGCAAAGTCCCAGAATGATAAAAAGGATTCAGATCTTCTTACAGGACAAAAAAGGCTCCAAGGTGACCAATATGACTTGCTGCCAATTAATGTCCATTTTTTGGGTCAGAATATATGATGTTGGTGCAACCGGGCAGCGTTCAGGGCCTGCTCCTGGCTTTGCACTTTGATGGTGCTCGGGACAATTTGGAATTCTGAGAGTTGAACCCAGATCAACCCCATGAAAGGCAAGCACCACAAGTGACAAAGCAACTGTACTACACTCTTGCCCCATACTCTGGATTTAAAATTGTGCTTCTGAAACTGTTTTCTTTTTAGGGAAGAGTGCACTGGTTTGGTGTTTTCAAGGGGTAGTGTGTTGACTAGACCATGCTCTCTGATGTTCTTACCAGCCTCTGCTCCTGTTCCAGTGTCTGTCCAGCTCTCTGGGCTGCTGCTAGGCCAGTTCCTCTCTGCATCTCCAGGACTGACTTTGCAGTCACTGTTTTCACATCATCTTGAGTACTTTCCCAAGAAACTCAGCACCCGGTGAATAGTACCAACCTTCCTGTTTTATCTTGAATCAATCCAGCTGCGTTTTTTTTGATGGACTGTGTGTGGGAGCATTGGGTCATTGTTTGACTGACCAGGACAGGATCAGGGGTCTCCGTATCCACAGCCCCCCACTGTGTGACCCACCACTCTCCGCAGTTGCTTCTCCACACCATCACTTCCAGCTCCATGAATGGTCAGCAGCAGGTGGGCATGGGGCAGAGCGCAGGGGCTGAGTTCGGTTCCTATGGGATCTGCATAGGGCAGGGCTTCACTGTCTCAACCCTCCCAGCATGGGACTTTGCTCTGCTCTGTTCCGGAGCATTTGGCCCTGGCATCACTCATGTAGAACCTTCAGATTCACTTCAAAGGGTAGGGTCCCAGCCACCCTGTAGTAGCAGACACAGCTGTCCTCTGTCCTTTGACTTTCATTGATATGGCAGGGCCACATGTTGGGTCGGTCCCTCCAGGAGGCTGGGATTTGCAAATGAAACCTTTTCAGTATCATTCGTTTGGTTTGACTTGTGTACCATATCCAGAGAAGCTCAGGGTCTACTTTTTTTTGGCTTTTTGGGTCACATTCAGCGATGCACAGAGGTAACTCCTGACTCTGCACTCAGAAATTACTCATGGTGGTGCTCAGGGACCATATGGGATGTTGGGAATCGAATCCAGGTAGGCTGCACGCAAGCAACTGCCCTACCCACTGTGTTATCTCTGCAGACCCAGTTAGGGTTCAGAAACTGCCTCCTGGGTTTTCCTTTTTGATGTGTGTTCACTGCTCGCGTGTTTGCAATCATCGAGCGTTGACTGGACAGTGTTCTCTGATGTTCTCTACGAGCCTTTGCTCATGTTCTAGCGTCTTTCCAGCTCTCTGGGCTGCTGCTAGGCCAGTTCCTCTCTGCTATTGTGCTGGCTTAGAGTCACTGCTTTTACCCTACCTTGATTGATGGTTGCCTAGAGAAACTCATTGTCCCGTGCCCTACCTGCTCCCTATCTCCTCTTTTACTTTGAATGAACCCCCTTTGCGATTTTCCTGATGGACTGTGTGTGAGAGCATTGGCTCATTGTTTGCCCAGTACGAGACCAGGGGACTTCTTACCCCTCGCTAGCCCTCCACTGTGTGACCGGCCAGTACAGCAGCTGCCTCTCCACCCCTTTATGTGAGCCCATCCCCCTGGTGCTACAAATTCACCTGGGTAGGCATAATGGTTCTCTCCTCATCTGGAGTCTGGCACTTTAAGGTTGCTTGCGGCAACAGAAGTGACATCACAGGAGGCCCTTCCTGGTGCTTCTATTCCTGGAATTTGTGTCAGTGTTATTGTTCACGTGGGTAAAGGACAGTGTAGGGCACCTGTGACGAAGTGGGACTCTGAAGGCCAACTTTGTGGAACAAGGGGGGTGATCTCCCGTGAGCGCCTGGTTGTTCCCCTGGTGTCCACACTGAGCTGCGGGTCCTCGGCAGCTTGGGGAGCACTTTTGCACTTGTTTTTCACTTGTTCCCTGATATCAGGCGATTTCTGAGGTGCAGTGGATCTTTGACAGGGTCAAGGGAGGAGGATGTGAGTGAGTGATCCTGGGGGGCTCCTGCAGCCACAATTGCTTCCAGCTCTGCAATGGAGCAGCAGCGGATGGATACGGGGCTGAGTGTGGGGGCTGCGGGCCTTGGGGGTGAGGGACCTGCCGAGGGCATGGGCTTGGCAATCCTGACCTCCAGCTGACCTAAATTAGGACTTTGGCCCCTGTCTCGCTGCTGTAAAATCTCCAGATTTACTCTGGGCAGAGTTGCAGCTCCTGCAATGCCAGGAGACCCTGTTATCGTCCGGTTTTTTCAATGGCTTCCCTTGTATGACGGGCCATCCGGAACAGTGGA